GCCTCTAGCCGGGCCTCCTGTGCGGCCCTTCCGGGGGACACAGGAGGGGCGGCCTCGAGTGCAACGTTCCTTCGAGGGGCGACCGCGTCGGGTTGCCTCCGGGTGATATGGGCACCATGCCTTTGGAAACGTCGTCCAATATTGCTGGCAGCGGGGGTGATAGTGGTGCCCTGACGTTCTGAGGGAACGTCCGGCGTGCGCCCCCGATGATCGTCCTGCCAACCATATCGAGGGGTGCTGGCCCCGGTGTGCCCTTCAGCTCCGTGGGAGGACGGATGTTGACCCAACCTCATGTGGATGGGCGTCCGACGCCCGGCAGATTCCGCTGTCTCATCCAGGGACTGCATGCGGCGGATGGGTGATATGGGCGTCCAGATGGTGTTAGCTGAGTACACCTCTTCGTTCGCCTCCTGTTCGTCCGCCATTCGGCGCATTGTTTCTGCCAGCTCCCTCATGAGTCGAGGGTCGCGTCTGGCCTCGTGGGGGATGAGGTTTGTGAGGCCGCCCTCACCCCCAGTTGTCCCCAACGTCTCGGAGCGCTCCGTGGTTTGCCCGCAGTTGCTTCGTCCGCGGGATAGCTGCTCGGAGAGGTCACGTTGGCGGTTGTTCCTTGTCATCGTGCTTGCTGTAGGTAGATTTAGTAGCTGTTTGGGAGAGTTTCTGGAAACTTTTTGTTCAGTTTCCCACAGACGGCGCCAGTGTTGAGGTTTATTCCTTCAACCCCCGGGTCCAACACGTAAGCCCAAGGATTTCGAATGGAGTGTGTGTGATTGAACTAGCCCAACAAGCAGATGATATGGATTAGAAAAGCAGTAAGGTAGCAAGTAAATGATTAGGTATTATTATCTCTTAATAACTCCCTAATACAATACTTTTCGCTAAGGCTCCGTCGGCCGTTCGTCTTACAAGGCAGTAGAAGTGCTGCGAGTAAGAATGCTATAGCTAGAGTGCTAAGAATAGAAAGTTGCCAACCCTTTACAATGAAATAAATGCTTCTATTTATACCCGCCAATGGGCAGGTGGCTGTGCTGACGTGGAGGCCTGTGGACCGCTTGTGCCCCAACCACCAAATCTCCAGCATTAAATGCGCTTCCCGCCAGAATCTAGGTTTCCCGCCTAAATAACGGGGACGTTCGTCCGCCTGGGAAGCGAGCCAGATCGCCCCAAGTGATCCTCAAGAGGTCTCGGCTGTTCGTCTCCTGGCCTTTGGATTCTCTCCATGTGGACTGGATTTCCTCGGATGGCTATGGGCTTGCCATAGGGACGTCCGTCGTCATCCCCTGGTAGCCCGTGGTCCTGCTCCGTCCCTGCGTAGACGTTCGTCGGAATGGGCCGCTGGGCCTGAACTCCCAATCCCAGACGTTCGTCCTTCCCCAAGGAATATGGGCCTGCGGGCTGGCCTTGTGGGCCGGACCTCGGCTTGGGCCCTTAACCCAACAGTAAGTTTTGGTTCTAATAGATTATACGGGTATCCGAACTAAAGAGAGATTTATAGTCAAATGGGAGGTTAATTCAATATAAATAGTTATCATCTTTCTATTAGGGGTTTGTAAACAAGGTTCATCACTAATCAATATTCATTCAATATTGTTATTGGTCAGCTTCCTTCTCTCTAACTCTAAATCTGTCGTCCAAACCATCACTTCCATTTGTTATTGGCCCTTCAAGTGGTAGGGCCAAGCGGTGTATACTAACACGTAGGGCCAAGTCAAAGTTAGGTTTTTGGGGTAAGGGGCCGTGAAAGCGGTGGAGCTAGTCACTATAAAAAATTTACTCATACCTTAGTTTTAACCATCGCTTCCAGCATAGCTGATTGTGAGGATATCCTTGCATAAGAGATATCTCGTGTTCGAGTCCCATTAGCACTAGTGGAACTATGCTCCCCCAAAAAACCCTTCAAGTGGTAGGACCAAACGGTGTATACTAACCCGTAGGGCGAAGCCAAAGTTGGGCTTCTGGAGTAAGGGGCTGTGAAAGCTGTGGAGCTAGTCACTATAAAAAGTTTACCCATACCTTAGTTTGGACAGAGCCTCACTCTCTATCTGTCAGATTGCGATTATAGTCCAATTTACATCCTCTTATCGTGCCGTCCGGTCGGTGTTGGGGGCCCTCATGGATGGGGTGTCATCCTTTTTTTTCTAAATCTGTCGTCCATAATTATATGTTTGGATATTCCTATAATCGATCAGGTTCAAACCTAACTAACTTAATAGTTTGAGTCCAAACGGATATTGATTCAATAGTCAATGGCTCAATGCATGTCTCTATTATTAACTCTTGTCTATAATAGCATGTTTGGAGAAACTTATTAGCCCATTTGTTGATGGGAAAACTCACACGTAAGACTATTGGCCTTGTGAGGTGTATGACATGTATCAATAGCTGTTATACATTTTTAAAGACATACAGTAATGAAGTTAAAAATCATTTACATGTTCAGATGCGTCCATTATAAGATATCAAAAGAAATTATTATCTACAATCTCTCTATGTTTTTATCATCTCTCAATATCAAAAGAATTTATACTTTCTTCTTTTCATTCCTCTAATTTCCACTCCTCTTATTTAAATTTGTTTATTGTTTATGTAAAGCATGGTTGAAGTCTATCAAACAACATTATATTCTTAAACAATGGTTAGCATTGTTTGATGTCAATCTAATGTGCACATACGAACATCGGAACATGTACTTCAAAACATGGACTCAATTATTCAAATTCTCTCATCTACCTTGATCACGTCACACATTCTTCTTTCATATATTATCTTCGTCGAATAATCCTTTTGCAGTCAAAGTTAATTTCTTCTTGCGTTAAATCACAGGGCGACAGAACTCTCCATCCATATGCCGTCTCTTCTTCATATCAATGCTGGTGGGAAATTCAAACAGTTAGACCTCCCATTACCAAACTCTTGAGTCTCGACATTCTAATTCCATATGAGTTGAAAATACCCATTATCCCTCAGCATAGATCTAATTTGAACACTTTTAATTGTTCTTGTGATCCCACATCCTCTCTCAGCCTCCAGCTTTGTTGTAACTTTCAGAATCTCTTTGATGCTAGGAAATTTATTTTGTGTTTTTTTTTTCAAATTTGTTTCATAATTCAAACATATAATATGTGACTTTTGAATTATTTTGTCTTTGTTTGGAAACAAATTAACACGACGTAATTTTTTATATAACTAAATATATGATTTATGTAATCATATTTAAAATTTAAAGCGTCAATTTTTGTTTCAAAACATTTTCTTTTTTATATTTTTAAAGCACCAAATTGAAAAATGCATTTTGGAGCATTCACAATCGGGGCCAATTAAGAATTGCGGGGACTGATTTAAACTAGTATAAATCACACACATAACTATTCAAAACCAGTCTACAATAACATAACTTAATAATAGAAAAATTTACAGAGAAGAAGTAGATATAATGAAAATTTTACAATAGAAGAGCCATATTTCATTAGATCGATATGAGTAACTTTCACCTTGTCCTCATGCTTTGCCAACATATCTTAGCATTGTCATGCTTTAATATGAAAGAATGAAACAATAGAGCTATTAGATTTTGGGTGGACAAAAAATGACCTTTCCCTCGACAAAAAATGATCAATTTTTTTTAAAGGCCCTAAATACGCAACACTCCTTCGCTCTCGATCATCTTCACGCCTTTCCACTTGCGCTGGTGAGACAGAGTTTTCGATGTCGACATAGTTGCACCCTCAGCTCATTGTAGCCATTCACGTTCTCCGACATCGTTGTCATCGTCTCTACGCGCTGAATCCACTCCTCCTCCTCTTCATATTCTCCTTTGCTCTCGTCTGCAACTCTATCGTGGCCGCTTTGGAGCACCTCTATTGTTGTCTTCTTCGATGGAGCGTCGAGGTAACCGTCGTTCAAAAGGATTTGTCCAAATCATTAGACTTCTAGTTCCTGACAGCTGGATTTTCAGGTCCTATCGACAAGGGGTTCTTGTTAGGAGTGAGTGATGGGCATTGAATGTCAGGTGCAAGGTATCAATAGTGAAGGTGAAGCGACGAGGGGTAATAGAAGGGGGCAAGGCGGGAGTTATGTTGGTGTGAGTGGGGATGTGCGATATGGACCGCGGTTAGGGAGTGGTCACTGGCGAACGGAGTGGCGGGGGTCATTGTACTGAGTGGCAATGGTTAATGGACGTGTGGCGGTGCCACTCTAATCAATAGATTTTAAGTGGGCAACGTCACTACCTCATAGGCGGCGCTTATACGGGCCCTTATTGGGAAAATATGTTACTTTTGATAGGGTAACTATCACTAGCTAATAGTAGTCACCAACAACAATGAGGTCACTGATGGCAACATAATGATGATGACTAATCAATGACAATATTAGATCAATGTTTACGTAACAGCATGTCACCGAGGTTGATGTCACTATGACTGGTATCACATGACAAAAGTCATCATGATCGAAGTCAGGATGGTATTTTTTGTAAATTGTAATAATAGCATTTTTGCAATATACGAAGTAGCTCTTAATCCCTCTTATTAATCCGGAATAAAAACATGATACTCTCAATTAAGAGGTCGTTTGACAACACTATTTTTGGGTTTATCAGTCAACTTTTTCACCAAATACGTAATTTTTGCTTTCATGCGTTGAATTGTGTAATAAACAAAAAAAGTAAGGTTGAAGTTACTTTTCTGACTGTATTGGCTGAAGTTACTGTAGATGACCATTTTATCTATTTTCACATATATTTTTTTCTTTATTTTATTAATAAAATATATTTTAAAAATAATTTTTTGTTAAATCAGTAGAATCAACCAATGCAACCACTTCAACTAGAACTCCATAGATTTTAGCAGAATCAGCTAAATCAACCGATTTTCGTGCTACCAAATAAGCTCTTAACATGTGCGTGATGAGGCCTTGTGGTGCCCAAAAATGTTTTTAAACATGGAGGACTAATTGGCAAAATGAAAATAGTTTATAAAGGGTTGCATTGGAGAAACGAAGGAGATCGAAGGCCTCGTAAACCCTAGAGTGGCCCTGCATACCTCGTCGCCCTCCTTCCTCCCTCCCATCTACCATTTTCGCAGCTTCGCTGTATCTAGTTTTATTGTTCTGAGATCGAAGAGAGTTACGATGATGATTTTTATGATAAAATATTGATTTGCATTTTGCAACATGAGCTTTACATACATGGTTCGTATTCACTGAGCATCTCTCTGATTATCTCTACCCTGGAACTTTTAATTTTCCGTTTTCGTGTTCTTTTCATAATCTCCCGAAGGACCTATGGACGCAGCGCCATCTTCAATGCGTTAACGCCCAAGTTTGCCTTCGAAAACTGAATTCAGAATACAGATCGCCGGTCGGAATAATTTCCGATGGGTTAATTTGCTTCGTAAGATCTAATTTTCTGACATTTTATCTTAGCAAGTTGTTTAGGCCCCATCGAAGTCTCTGTAATTGGCATCTTGAACACAAGTTTTGATGATAGAGTAAATCAATTCATTGCAAATTTTGGACAAGTGTTCGTTCTCATTCATAAATTACACCACAAGTTCAGTTTAAAAAATTGAGGTGTTTGGATCTTATTCTACTACTTCAGAAGTCCGAGTCGGAGTGTGTGGGTGATCACTTTAGAAGCTGATTCTTTAATTTACTTGTAGAATCAATGTTTTTAGAAGTGAGGAATCAACTTCTGAAAATTGATTTTGATTTCTAATTCTGTTTGATTTCTAAGTTCCAAACACCAAGAATACTTTATTTCCCATTGCAAGTCGATGAGGGGAAAATGAAGATTGTTGACACTTATCTTTGGAAGTTTTACTCAAAGACTTGTCTTTGGAAGTTGAAACTTGTTTTGATTTTTGAGTTTAACAACAAAGACATCGAAGCAACAGCCCCATTGCCAAAAGGGTTTGAAGTAATCAACATGAATGTAAACATGAAATCAATTTTTTTTAAAAAAAGGATAGGAAATACTACGTATGATTTTTAGTTTGCTTATCGGCACAAAGTATAGTTATTTTTTGTCTGAGTTTGCTTACCGGCTCAAAGCATAGTTATTATAATAAGGCCCTTAAACACCATAAAAAAATAATCATTAAAAAATATTTATACTTAATTACTTACCTGAAATAATGAGATTATATTTTGGAAAGGTATGAAGTAACTTGGGGTGGGCTTGATTCAAGCGGTTCGGTTTTCGTCTAAAACCAAATGTCAAATCAAAGTAAAAAGTTTGGTTCGATTTTATGTTCAAAAATTTAAAATCATGGTTTGTTTGTTTTAGTTTATTTCTTTTCAGTTTTGATTTTTTCGGTTTTTACCAAAATATTTCAATTTTGTTGATTAGAAAAAGAAAATAATTTCAAATATATAACAAAAATAAAAGTAGTGGACACAAATGTGACTCTTGTAACTTAAGTGAGTATAATTGTATAAGTTTTTTGTAAAAATATTATTAAAATAAAACATATTTACATAAATATGACTATTCATTGCTACAATATGGTATTGTGGTATTTATACTCAAAACTTGAACATAAATTAATATGGTTTCATTACTACTCTAGTCACTAGTCATTTTTTTGTAAATCATCTTTATTTTGATCATATTTATATAATTATTTCTAATTGTATATAAGTTTTATATCATAGTGACTAAAACTTACATGTAGTAACTTATAATCATATTTTTGTCCATCTATTTCCATGAGTAATATTTTAGGAAAAAACTCAAAAGAAAAATAGTACTACCTCCGTCCTAAAAAATTTTGCCATTTTCAAAACTTTGACCGGCTATATCTTTTTATTGAAAATGATTTAAAATATAAAAATTATATGAAAATGTTCTTTGTTAAAAGTACTTTCATAAAAGTATAAAATTTATAACTTACATAATTTTATACTAATCAAAATTGAGGTTCAAATTTTTGGAAATGACAAAGTTTTTTGGGACAGAGGTAGTAATTGTAAAACAAAAGCAAAAAAATAAACTATATCAAACTAGTATTAATAGTTACACAATACAAAAACATACATAACTAAAAAAAATAGAAAAAATAAATGCATTTCCAAGCAATGAATTAAGAGTACGTGTATACCAATTTAAACATTTTCTAAATTAATTAAATGCGTAAGTTTATTTGTGAATTATATATAGGTTATTTGCAAGTTAAAATTTTATTAGTAATTAACTTCTATTTTCTTTTTTGACAAAGATATTTATGCTCTAAAAATTCACGTTTTCTGCTATGTTGTTTAAAGTATAGTTTATATTAATACATATTTGTTCAATATAAAGAACTACTACGTATGTGATAACAAACATATATACATAAGATTGATCCAAGGAAGACCTAAGTTTCATCCAAGGAAGACCTAAGATAACAATTTATGTTCGGTTCATCCAAGGAAGACCTAAGATTTGCCACTTCGATAACATTGTCTTTAAGGTTGACCAAAACTTGGCTGGTTGGAAAAATAAATTTTTAACTACTGGTGGTCGTATTACCCTCATTAAATTTGTGCTCACCACTTTCCCCCTGTATCATATGGCCAATGTTATTATCCCGAAAATTGTTCTTCAAACTATTGAACAATAGTGCTTCAGATTTTTGTGGTACAATGCTGATTTTAATAAACGTCATATCTGGAGAAAGTGGAATAGGATTACTTATCCTGTTAACAAAAATGGTTTGGGCTTCAGGAATATTTTCTTTATTAAAAAATGCTTCTATCTTAAGTGTTTATGGAAAGCCGCCAATAACACTGGTTTATGGGGGCTTTGGTTTTCTAAGCTTAAAACCTCCGGTAAATCTTATATGTGGAAAGGTTTGTCTAAGGTCAAGCATGATTTTGATAGTCTTACTACTCTTGTGATTTGTAATGGTCAGTCTTCTTTTTGGAATTCTAACTGGTCTGAATTTGGCAGGCTAAAGGACCACTCCAAAAATGAGGGGATTTTGCACCATCAAATTACTGTCAAAGAAGCCTATCACCACCTCTCCTTTTTTCAAGAGATACAGACTATGATGCCTGAACACATTCTTAATAGCATCAAGAATACTATTCATCACTTCTCTTCTACCAATGACACTATGGTTTGGACCCTTACTCCTGCAGGATCCTACTCCTTTAAGAGTGCCTATGAGGAAATCAGACCTAAAAGAGGTATTCATAATAGCATTCAGAACATCTGGAATAAAAACATTCCTACTAAAATGTCTTTCTTCATGTAGAAGGTGATAAACAACTTGCAACCTTTTCAGGAAAAATACACCTATTTGGCAGTCATGGCCCCTATAAATGTCCCTTTTGCAATAACTTTGATACAAGAGACCACTGTTATACCTCCTCTGATTTAAGCAAGAAACTTTGGACCCATTACAATAACCTTCTTAATATCGTGAATCATAATAGTGATGTTATCTACATTTTTTGGATTATTTGTAAAAGAAGAAACATGTACATTTATGACGATACTGATATTTTAATTTATGAGGCTATTGATATTATCAATAAGGAGATTTGGGATGTTAGTTGGGCCAAACCTTTTGTCACCAAAGCCACTGATCCCCCCATTTTAGACATCCAGATTATCAAACCCAAGTTGAAAGTTCAAAAACTCACCAACCGAGTTCTTAGTTGGGCTAGACCTCCTGCCAACTTCACCAAAATTAACATTGTCATCAGAACTACAAGAGATGAGAATATTATTTCTGGAATGATCATTCAGGATAGCCAGGAGCACATGATACATTACCAGTTCAACATTCATAATCAGTCTGACTACACTTCCATATTTTGTGATATTGTTATCAGCATGAAAAATCTGTTTCATGATAACAGGTACACTAACATCATTCTTGAGAGTGACATATTACAGGTACTCAAGACTATTCAAGGAACTGAAAGCCCAAGGTGGACAACAATAGCAAACCTTCAAGCCTTTAAAGAAATCTGTCATTACGTTCATTTTGACTATTCTTACATTAGGAAATCTTGTGATAGGGCGGCTTATTTTGTTGCGGCTAACGCAAATTTAATTACTAATAGCCCAAACATTTATACGAAATTTCAGGGTATTCTCAAATTTGATGCAATTAGTTACCCTTATGTTGTGTAATGTCGGTAGGTTTTGGCGAAATGTCCCCCCTACCATGTACTTTTTTTCTCATTAAATAAACCGGTAAGGTGTTCCCCGACAAAAAAACAAACAAACAATATCAATAAAATATCATTGTCATGCAACAACAAGCACAATGTAAATTACAATTTAAATTAGTAATATAGTAATAGACTTAAGTGTATGTACAAGTGTTTCACTTAATTAAACCATAAATATTAAATGTCAATATCTTGCAAATCATAATAAATCTAGTATCAAACATAACTTAATTTTCAAGAATTAAGAACTAAACAAAATATGTATTATACTTAATGATTAATAAATAAAATAACTAGTTTTAAAAAGTTCGGTTTATTCGGTTCGGTTTTGAGATGTGAAAACCAAAACCGATACCAAACAACTACGGTTTGGTTCGGTTTTTTGAGTTCGGTTTCGATTTTCTTGCGGTTCAGTTGTTTTGGTTGCAATTCGGGTTTTTTCAATTCGGTTTGCGATTTTCGAATTTTCCGACCCACCCCTAGAATTAACGTTTTCCACTCTTCTAGACTAGAGAACTCATCAAAGCTTGAAGTTGGAATTTGGGGCCTAAGGCAATTGCCTCAAGGGTAGGTTCGCCCCTGCGGGTGAATTCTTGCTGCATTGAAAAATCTCTACAAGAGAGTAACTTTTTGAACCACAGAATTGATAAATAGAAACTGATTGTGAAAATAAAATAAAAACCGGTTGATTTATTCATGGTTAGTGTGTATGAGTTTAAAACAAACTGAATTTTATATAAACTAGACTAGATGACATATCATAAAACCAAATCTATATGTTTACAAAATTTAACTCATTTAATTTATGGGCATTTCCTGACTAAGTTGGTTCATATCCTTAACATCTTGCTATAGGGCAATGGGCATTTTTGCAACTCTCGCTGTTCAAGCATTTTTCTTGCATTTTAATAAGTACTACCGTCCCTCTAAGAGTATAAGACTATAAGTCATGTGTAAGAATCGTTTAGAACCACTCTCAATTTTACCAAATTTGATACTTCATGTAAGACAATTCTAGTGGGATGGATTGGAAATTAAAGATAGCAATATTTGTGGTGAGAGAAGTAGTTATTACTAGTATTATTCTTCCTTGCAATCTCCAAAAATAAATGACAATTCATTCTTGAGTGCCCTCATAATCGGTTAGACATTCAAAGTCATTGCTTAAATTTGAACATGTGATCTCTTTTAGTGTCATGGTTATGCAACAGTTATATGAAAGGGTGTAGGTTGAGTTTTGATTGAAATCTCCATATTCTAATTTAAGTAATTCAGGACAGAAAATTGCAGACTTGGACATTTTCATCACTAAGTTTAGTAGGAGTAATTTTCATCACTACAAGGTTTTTGCTCACGTGATTCCAAGAATTAGGTCTTGGACATTTAGGTCTTTTGAGTTTTGACAATATCGTCACCATTTTGGGCTATTTAGACTGATTGTTATTGTAAAATTCATCAAATCATTAAGTTGATTTCTCTACATGTTTTCCAAATGCAATGATTTGTGCAATGTTTGTACAATGATTGCACAACATTTGCAAATAAAGTGATACTTCGTATTAAACAATAGTAAATTTTCACATATGTTGCATGGGATGCAATTCATATATGTTCAAGTTTGTTAAAAAGTTAAAAGATGATAGTAAGATTAAAGTCCATAAAGATTGTTTGTGAGTGGCGCAAGTGGCATTAATAACCCGTTAGCCTACCTTTATTTGACTTATTAGCGATTTTTATCAAACATATATTTTATGATTTCATGCACTAAATTGTGTTCTTTCCATCATTTGCAATGGAGCCAAAGATTCATTATTTTTTGGCTTGAGAATATGATGGAATAAAGCAAAATGGCTCACTAAACTGTTTGCGCTTCTTTGTTATGAAGTAGCAGTCAGTCCATGCAATTTTGGACGTGTTTTTCACTATGGGTCATTCGGAAACAGTCTCTCTGTACTTTAGTATAGAGGTAAGACTGCGTACATCCGACCCTCTTACTCCACCGTAGGTGGGAGCCTTTGCGGCACTGGGGTAAATGAAAATGAAATGAATGATGCACTGAATTGTGTAAGAATAAACAATAAGTAAGGTTAATGTTACATAGTGAAGTTTTTGTCACTTTTAGTCCTCCGACTATTATGTCACTGACAATTTTGGTACTTGACTTTGATTTTTTTTTTCATTTTTAGTCTCAACTATTGTGCTGGAGACACTTTTAGCACTCGTCTTTGAAATCTTTCATATTTAGTCTTTCAACTTTCATAAAAGTGACATTTTTGGACCTTCAACTATTAAAGTAGTGACATGTTTAGTCTTTCACTTATTGTGTCAAAATAATGGTGAGAGGGCTAAAAGTGTCGATATCATAATACTCATGGGACCAAATGTGGGAAATTTTGAAGTTGAGGATAAAAATATCTTTAGCACAATAGTCGAAGACTAAAAATGGAAAATATAAAAGTCGAGTACCAAAAGTGTCACTGACGCAAAGTTGGATGATCGAAAGTGGCAAAAGCTCTTACTTAGCCGATTGAATTTGTTGAGTTATAAAGGACAAAGGAAGTAATTTTTTTTTTCATTAATAAAATAAATTTTGAATTTAATTTTTCTATGATTCATCTGATTCATTCAATTCAGTCACTTGGATAAGAATTTCATCAATTTCACTAAATACAGTTGATTCAATCAATTTCAATGTTTTGAAACGGACTCTAAGAGTTTGTAAGTTACTCTACATATCCTCACAAAAAACATTTTGAGCCTTCTTAGTCGTTTTGTCATCATCTCAACGGAGATATTATTTGAGTTCGCGATGTATAAATTATAAATGTTCTCGAATAACGAAATCTCAACCGTTACAAAGCACTTTCCTTCACTCGAACAAGTTTCTATGCTTGATGTTTGGTAGAGTCGGGTTAAGTGTCAATATAAGACAAATTTACCTTGCATTTATCCTCAAAATTATCGAGGCATTTTCTAGTGTGATTTTCAAATATTTCCCAGGCAAATCAAAGTTTTAAAAGTTGAAATCATAAAATTGATGTTATATTTATATGTTCTCCAATTTTATAAGTCTAGATTTATCCAACTATGTGAGTGTAGAATTCAAGTATTGGCGGATTATTTAACATTTCTCTTTTGAGATTATCTCAAATTCTAAATAACATAAATTCACGTGAAACAATAAGAAACATATGTAGTACAATAGTTCAAAGCCACTAAACTATTGAGGAAAAATATCACAAAGTATAGCAAAAATAAGCCTTTCGGGAAAAAATTGAATCAAGATGTAGAACTTTTATGATCTCGGGCTATCAGTTCCTAGTGGTTGAACCTTGGTTGGAGATGTTACTTGTGATTTCACTATAAATGTCATTTCCCAAACGATGCTTTGGTGATGAAATTGGAGCCCCGACATCCTCGTTGTAAATTATATGGTGGCATTCTTGAAGGGAAAAACAGCCACACACGGAACTAATAAAATGCGGAATTAATCTCCGTTTGGCTAAACTTTCCCCAACTTGAATGAACCTTTGAGGATGCAAATAAATAGGGTGTTCTTAATACAATTAGAACACACAATATTGCTGCCACACACCAATATAATGAGCTAAAACAGTAAGCACACACCACACAAAAACACCGGAATTTTAGCGTGGAAAACCCGTTAACTAGGGAAAAACCACGGGACCATTTTGGCCGCTTAAATCCACTATCATCATCAAAGGAGCAGTACACAATCTTCTCTAGATAATACTAGAGGCATACAACATCATCATATCCTTGGAAGTAAGAACATCAAGGTGTATGGAATCAAATAGAGCCAAGATAAGAAAATATATCACCAGAAAATAGCTACTGTCCAGACCAACAAAACCCGACCTCCGGACCACAAAACCCGATCTCCACCGTCCAGAATATTGGCCCTGATGCTGTGAAGCTGCTGTCCAAAAATCACGACGATCCAACGGTTCAATCTCCGGGAAACGGAATTTTTCTGCTGCTGCTGCTGGAAAAACGGGATGAGCACACTTCAGCTCATGTTTTGTGATTGTTCTCACTTATCTGCTGCTCTCTTTCTGTCCATGAGTAATAGATAGATGGCAGACCCTGTTTTTAATATTAGCTCCCAAAATAGAAAGTCAAAGAAGACTTTTGATGGGCTCAAGAGTTGGGCTTTCCTCATGGGTCAAAAATAAAGAAAGAACCCAACAAATCTCCCCCTTTTTGACTTATGAGGAAGAGTTCGCCATACCGGCGATGGAGCAACATACCTTCAACTTTTCCCTTGCTAGAACCTTCGTCAACATATCGGCACCATTATCATTGGTATGAACTTTATCAAGTTCAAACAGTTTGTCTTCAAGTGCATCTCTAATCCAATGATACCTCACATCAATATGTTTGGTTCGTTTGTGAAACATACAATTTTTAGCAAGGTGAATGGTACTTTGATTATCACAAAGAACCACATAGCGTTATTGCATAAAGCCAATCTCTTGCATAAACCTTTTAAGCCATAATAGCTCCTTACAAGCTTCTGTTGCAGCCACATACTCAGCCTCGGTGGTGGATAAAACCACACACTTTTGCAGTCTCGATTGCCATGACACAGCTCCCCCTGCAAAAGTCATCAAATATCCAGAAGTGGATTTCATGTTGTCCTTATTTCCTGCCATATCAGAATCAGTATAACCAACAAGTACTGGCTTCCCATTTCCAAATGTTATACCCAATTTGGAAGTACCACGTAGATATCTGAGAATCCACTTCACTGCTTCCCAATGCTTCTTACCTGGATTTGACAGAAAACGACTAACAACACCTACTGCATGGGCAATATCAGGCCGTGTGCACACCATAGCATACATCAAACTCCCTACAGCTGAGGCATAAGGAACTCTATCCATCTCTTCAATCTTCTTCTCAGAAGATGGGCAATCTTTATCTGTCAACCTGAAGTTGGTAGTAAGAGGTGAACTAACCTCTTTAGCTTTGTCCATGTTGAATCTGCGAAGCACCTTCTCAATGTATTGCTCCTGTGACATGTGTAGCTTCTTCAAAGCTCTATCTCGAGTGATCCGAATGCC